TATGAGTAATAGAGATTAATTTAAAAAGTATTGTCTAATCAATAAATACTTACATTGAAGAAGGATATTCATATGACGATATAGCTATAATTAGTCCAATTTAAGCATCTCTTAAGGAAATAGAGTACCTTATTTTATAACAAAATTATAAAATAAAATAAAACCCAGATAAAAATAAAGATAAAAAGATAATACCTTATTACAGTGTAATAGGAGATAGCTCTAATTTTGATTATAAGCATCAATTTAAATAAAAAAATAAAATTTCGCTTTCAACTATCCATAGAGCAAAAGGATTAGAATGGAAAATAGTATTCTTTATTGGATTGAATGATGATGTAATTCCTATGTCATTTTTAAGATAAGGTGACTTGAAATAGAAAATGGAAGAAATGAGGCGTCTGTTTTATGTTGGATGCACAAGATCTGCAGAAATACTGAAAATGTACTATTTTTGTAATAATTCAAGAAAAGTAATTTCTTATTTCTTTAAAAAAAATAAAAAAACAACTTTTTAAAATTTTTAGGCATCGCGATTATTCAAAAATATAAGCAAAGAATCATATTCTAAGGATGAAAATGTTATAATAGAAGAAGATGATGACAAATTCAATGAAGAGAAATAAAATAAAAAAAATAAATATAGAATTAGTGATTTTTTTGATAATTTAAGCAATATTTAGTATATCGATGATCTAAAATAATCCTAATAATATCTTAAAGATATTCGTGTCAGCGATAAAGAAGTATTCAATAAATAGAATACTCTTAGCGAATAATAGATACAATTGATATTTTCAGAATAGTAACAAAACTTGCTATTCAATTACATATAAATGTAAATTTTTATTCTTTCTTTACTCTTTTTTTATTTTATTAAAATCAATACATTTTTATCTGATTTTTAATCACATTCTTTGAGATTAATTGAAAGGTATTATTTGATTTATAAATTCAAAAGAAATTCATTCCAAAAATATTTAAATTTATTTTTGAATTTTGCAATCAAAAAGTTAATTAATTTTAAAAATACTACATTACTCTAAGTAAAAGCACCCCAAAAAACACTTCAAATTTTTAAGATAGATTATATAATCTATCCCACACACAATAAAATTTTTATTTTAAAAAAGGCTAAAATTAATTAAAAATTTAATATAAAAATCATAAAGATTGATTTTAATTAAAATTATTAATATTATTAATTAAAAATTATTATAAAATTATTTATTTTTATATAAATAATATTCAAACCCATTAGCCATTCTAAAAAATAGTGATCTCAATTCACTAAATTTTAGAATGGCATTTGGCTATACCTTAAAATATTATAAATTCATTCTCTGATAAATATTTTAAGTAAACACTTAAAAAAATACAATAAGATTTATTCTCGAATAATTGAAAATTATTAAAATATATTTAATTTTTAAAATAATTTTTTTATTTATCATATTAATGATTAAAAATTAAATAATATAAAGCATGCTTTTTAGAATTCTTTCAGAAAAAAGTGATAAATAATTTAAGATCACTGGTGAAAATGAAAATTTATTGAAAATATACACCAAATAAGATAATTTATAAGAACATAATTAGCGATAAAATATGCTTAATTTATTCAAAAACACGAGTTATACTTTAGAGAAAAATCAAAAAGAGCTTTATGAAGCGATTTATAAAGTATGTATCTTTTTAGAAGTAATAAAATCAAATTAGTTTAAATATATTTTCTACGAAGATCCCTATAAAGAATAAGAAAAAATCATAAACTGCTTAAAGAAAATGTTGGATACTTGTTTTAAAAATTAAGACTATAGTGATGTCCTCATTTAAGATAAAATTGAAAAAGATAAATTTTATGATTATGAAACCTTCTCAAGTAAAGATACAATCTATGAAATCATTTAATCTTTTGAAAAACAAACAGTTGGAAAATAAGTTATGCTAACAGTATTTATTTATTTATTCAATTTTTGTTTAATTTATTAATTAATTCATTTAATTTTCTTTTACTTTAAAAGGTTTTAGGGAAAATATCTATCCTTAAAGTAAAATATAAGAGGGATATTAAAAATATATTATTCTACAATCCTATATAAGGAACGGCTGTCAAATATTCTTTATCTAATTGGAATTTTCATGATCAATTTATTTCATATATGGAAAATATTATAAAATAAGAAAGTGATTAAAATATCTTGAATTAATCTTCAAGTTAATCCTTTTAAAATGTATCAAATATTTAGAAAAAAAAAGAAGAATATAATTCTAGTATCAATATAAAATTAAATTAAATTCAGCAGAAAATAAGTTCGTCTAAATTTGAAGACTAAGTTTAAAATAAAAACAATTTAATCATAGACTTAGAATAATCACCAACTATTTTAGATTATAACTAAAAAAAGAGGAAATTAATACATGCTGCTCCATTTTAATAAGAACCTGGTCTTTCTAAAAGGCTTCATTTTTAACAGGATGAATCTTTCGGTTTAAAAAACTGAAATATTTATAAAATATATAGATAGATAAAATATTTTATTTCTAACAGAAATTATTATTTTAAAAAAGAAAATAAAATAATTTATTTAAATAATAACATTTTACTTTAAATTTATGTTTTTTTATTCGTTTATTAATTAATTAACTCTTTAATAATTAAAAAAATTAATTTTTTTTGTTTATAAAGCAAATTTGATTTATCTACTCTTTTAAATTTTCAAATAATTTAAAATAAATAAAATTGTAAATTATTCTTAATTAAATATTTATTTTATGATCAAAAAATTTTAAATAAAAAAAACTTATAATTTTAATTGAGCTTGATTATACTGATAAATTAAAACAAATATATGGATATTTAAAGGTATGTAAAATAAAAATAATTTAAAAAATATAAATATAAAATGAGTCGATTTTCCTCTATATCGACTCTGTGACAAAATATCCCGGAAGTAATGTTCTCTTTTACTTATTTTAATTTAATTAATACTACTATGATTTTATATTTTTAAGCATTTTTAATTTAAAAATAAAAAATAAAAAAAAAGTTAGATAAAATAAATAATTATATTTTAGCATAGATATTAATTATTAAATACATTTGAACTAAATCTAATCTGATTTACTAGAGATAGGAAGATAATTAAAGGATACTGCTATATTACATATTTTTCCTTCAATCTTATTTTAAAATTTAAAGTAAAAACCAGCTTTTTAATTTCTGAAGTCATAAGGAAAATTAAATATATTTTTTGATAAAAAATATGATCAACTAACTATCTATTTATTGATGAGTAATTTTCTTAAATTGATATCTTTTAAATTTTGATACAAAAAAAATCAAATTTAATTTTCTGTTTGATAAGAAATTTCATATAATTAGTAAGAAAAAGCTATAAAAAAATAAAGAAAATAAATAAATAATCAATAATAATTAAATTCAATCAACCAAATACTAAAGACCAAAAAAAATAATGAAATTCTAATTTTTGATTGCCTTTACTGCTTATTTACTAAACTTAACAAGTGCTGATGATAAGAATTGCAATTTTACTATTGATCAGTTGAACAGTAAAGTATTAAAAACTGTTATAGTCGAAGATTGTGATATTTGTTTCACATCAGATGTTACATTAACTATATAGTCAAATAGTTAATAAATCACTTCTCTTTAATTAACTGCAGTCGAATCTAATGACCCTGTAAAAAGCGTAACTCTATTACCATATACTAAATCTTTAACTATTGATACAATTTATAGCATATAATATTCTACTCCTAGACCAATTATCAGTAATTTGATTTCCTCCTGCTAAATAAAATAAATTAATGGATAGCTCACTTATGATTTAACTTTCTTGCCTTAAATTAATATTTTTAAATTATATATTCTTTTCATCATACTTATAAAATATCTTTAGAGGGAATTTTATTTTTTTTAAATTTATCAAACTTACTCAAATTATATTTTAAAAACATTCAATACCTAGCATTTGATTATATAAACTATTTTTTTACTAAAAATTAGCATTTTTAAATTATGATTTTTGTTTTTTAAAACTAAACTTCATACTGCACAAAAATTAAATTTGTATTTATGTGAGATAGTGTACATTGATCCAATTTTGTACATTTTTCTTAAACTATCATCAAATAAATTGTATATTTTTGGATATAATTAATTCTCATCAAAATTGGCAATTTTGAGCTTAGGATAGATAGATAGATAGATAGATAGATAGATAGATAGATAGATGGATGGAAAAAAATGATTATATTCTTTAAAAGTAAATCAGCATATTTAAAAAATAATTTTATAAAATATGAATTTATTATTAATATTCTAAATAGTATTTATTCTTTAGATACTAAATTTTTTTAAAAATCTTTGGCTTTTACTGATGAATGAATGAGTCAAAAATTCACCAATATTTTTTAAAATTTCGAAACCCCTCACCTCACCACTTTTTTAAACACTTATTTTTATACTTAAAAAAGAATAAGTACAAAGATTTTTTTGTCATTTCTTTAATTGTCTAATTTAATTTCTTTGTTTCTTTTTATGTTGATTGTCGAAAGGCGCTTATTTTTCTTATTACTCTATTTTATTATTTGTTTGTGATTTCTTATTTAAAAAGATATGAAATTTACTAAAAATAATACATATAATTAAAAACCATTATTTAATTTCTAGAACTTAATATTTTGTTAAATATCTTTTGATAAATATCTATTTCTAGTAATAAGTGAAAATTTAATCTAATCATAAAAATATGATCTTAAAACAATAATAAATTGCTGGAATATTAAAATTAAAATAACTTAATTTTAAATATAATTTCATTATTATATTTACTAAAGCTTTGTTATGTTTTAGTCTTAAAATTTCGCTAAAATTACTAAATTATATAATCAGAGAATAACAAGTAGTACAATCATTACTACATAGAAATATTTCGAAATATTTAAGTTTACTTAATAAAATAACCAAAAAATATTCATAAAAAACACTTAATAACATTTTTTTATTGAAATTTCTTTAATTATTATAATTTTTTAGTTAAAAATTGCATGAATTAGAATAAAAGGATTTTTTTTAATTAGTTTAAAAAATAAACTCTTTTAAAAGAATACTTTTATTTGAAATATCAAACATAAAAGAGTTTGAAAGTAGATAATTTTAAGAGATAAAAAATTAAAACACTTTTAAACACTTTTATCTCATAAAATGGTGATATTTATAAATAAATAATTTAGGCAATATTTATTCCAAAATCATAATGAATTTTAATAAAAAACAAATCTAAGAGCTTTCACTGAAAAAAAGTAAAGTATGTAGTAACTCAAGAGTGATTTAGATCGTTTTACTGACGATTAAAAGAAGTTTATTTTATCTCCAAAAAATGTAGATATCAAAGTCAATGCTTGCGCTGGATCTGGAAAAACTGAATGCATTCTTTAATTTGTAAAATAGGCTAGATTGAGTGGAATTAATTATAAGCAAATTTGCATTACTACGTTTAACATCTAAGCAATAAATGATATACATAAAAGAGCAGTCGATTTATTTGGTGAAGAATTAGCTGATGAGATAGAAATTAAAAACTTTGATAAATTAATAACTAAATCTTATGAATCAATCAAAACTTTATAAAATCCTTAACAAAAAGATATTTTTACAGAAGAGGTAGATATTACCTTAGTTGAAAAATAATTTGAGCTAGTGAACATGGATTACTAAAATTTAGGTAAGGATGATAAAATGTAAATCTTTGGCGCATATAAAATAATTATTTTTGATGAATTTTAAGATATTAATGAACTTTAATACAGCTTTTTATTGCTATTCAAAAAATATGGAGGATCAAACATCGTTGTAGTTGGTAATTAATAAATTTATTTATTAACTCATTTGAAATTTATTCTTAATTATTTAATTTATTAATTAGGAGATGTATTTTAAAATATTTATCAATTTAGAGGATCAGATTAAAAATATTTGAGTAATCAAATTAATCAAGACATTCAAAGTATAAACTAAAATTTGAAAAAGAGGGATTAAAAAATTATAGATCTTAGTTTATCTATAAACTTTAGATGTTCCTAGGAAATTACTTTTTTTGCAAATGAAATAATTAAATGCTAAAATGAGAATACAAATTTTATGAAATCCTTTTAAGGTAAATTTATTTTTTCTTTCTTTTTCACAACAAATTTTAGAAATCTCATCATATTTTTAGAGTTGGATAATTCAAAAAATACTATTAAGAAGAAGTAGATTCCTTATTTAGAAGGCTTTATGAGTAATAGAGATTAATTTAAAAGTATTGTCTAATCAATAAATACTTACATTGAAGAAGGATATTCATATGACGATATAGCTATAATTAGTCCAATTTAAGCATCTCTTAAGGAAATAGAGTACCTTATTTTATAACAAAATTATAAAATAAAATAAAACCCAGATAAAAATAAAGATAAAAAGATAATACCTTATTACAGTGTAATAGGAGATAGCTCTAATTTTGATTATAAGCATCAATTTAAATAAAAAAATAAAATTTCGCTTTCAACTATCCATAGAGCAAAAGGATTAGAATGGAAAATAGTATTCTTTATTGGATTGAATGATGATGTAATTCCTATGTCATTTTTAAGATAAGGTGACTTGAAATAGAAAATGGAAGAAATGAGGCGTCTGTTTTATGTTGGATGCACAAGATCTGCAGAAATACTGAAAATGTACTATTTTTGTAATAATTCAAGAAAAGTAATTTCTTATTTCTTTAAAAAAAATATTAAAACAACTTTTTAAAATTTTTAGGCATCGCGATTATTCAAAAATATAAGCAAAGAATCATATTCTAAGGATGAAAATGTTATAATAGAAGAAGATGATGACAAATTCAATGAAGAGAAATAAAATAAAAAAAATAAATATAGAATTAGTGATTTTTTTGATAATTTAAGCAATATTTAGTATATCAATCATCTAAAATAATCCTAATAATATCTTAAAGATATTTATGTCAGCGAAATAGAAATATTCAATAAATAGCATACTCTTAGCGAATAATAGATACAATTGATATTTTCAGAATAGTAACAAAACTTGCTATTCAATTACATATAAATGTAAATTTTTATTCTTTCTTTACTCTATTTTTATTTTATTATAATCTATACATTTTTAACTGATTTTTAATCACATACATTTGAGATTAATTGAAAGATATTATTTATAAATTCTATAGAAATTCATCCAAAAATATTTAAATTTTTGAATTTTGCAATCAAAAAGTTAATTAATTTTAAAAATACTAAATTACTCTAATTAAGTGCACCCCAAAAAAACACTTCGAATTTTTAAGATATATTAAAAAAAGTTTTTAAAAAAGGCTAAAATTAATTAAAAATTTAATAAAAAAATCATATAGATTGATATAAATTAAAATTTAAATAAATATTATTAATGAAATTCTATTAGAAAATTATTTATTTTTTTTGTAAATAATTTTCAAGCACATTAGCCATTCAAAAAAATAGTGATTTCAATTCACTAAATTTTTGAATGGCATTTGGCTATACCTTAAAATATTATAAGTTCATTCTTTGATTAATATTTTAAGTAAACACTTAAAAAATATAATAAGATTTACTCTCATAATTGAAAATTATAAAAATTTATTTTATTTATTTATCATATTAATGATTAAAAATTAAATAATATAAAGCATGCTTTTTAGAATTCTTTTAGAAAAAAGTAAGAAATAAGTTTAGCTCACTAAAGAAGCTTACTATTTATAGAAAATAAAATAGAAAATATAAAATTTATAAGAACATAATTACCTATAAAATATGCTTAAATTATTCAAAGACAATAATTAATCTTTAGAGAGAAATCAAAAAGAGCTTTATGAAGCTATTTATAAAGCATGTATCTTTTTAGAAGTAAAAAAATCAAATTAGTTTAAATATATTTTCTACCAAGATCCCTATAAAGAATAAGAAAAAATCATAAACTGCTTAAAGAAAATGTTGGATACTTGTTTTAAAAAGTAAGATTATTAAGATCTCCTTATTTAAGATTATATTGAAAAAGATAAATTTTATGATTATGAAACCTTCTCAAGTAAAGACACAATCTATGAAATCATATAATCTTTTGAAAAACAAACAGTTGGAAAATAAGTTATGCTAACAGTATTTATTTATTTATTCGATTTTTGTTTGATTTACTTATTAATTAATTCATTCATTTAATTTTCTTTTACTTTAAAAGGTTTTAGGGAAAATATCTATCCTTAAAGTAAAATATTAGAGAGATATTAAAAATATATTATTCTACAATCCGATATAAGGAACGTCTGTCAAATACTCTCTATCTAATTGGAATTTTCATGATCAATTTATTTCATATATGGAAGATATTATAAAATAAGAAAGTGATTAAAATAACTTGAATTAATGTTCAAGTTAATCCTTTTAAAATGTATCAAATATTTAGAAAAAAAAAGATGAATAGAATTCTAGTATCAATATAAAATTAAATTAAATTCAGCAGGAAATAAGTTCGTCTAAATTTAAAGATTAGGTTTAAAATAAAAACAATTTAATCATAGACTTAGAATAATCACCAACCGTTTTAGATTATAACTAAAAAAAGGGGAAATTAATACATGCTGCTCCATTTTAATAAGAACCTGGTCTTTCTAAAAGGCTTCATTTTGAACAGGATGAATCTTTCGGTTTAAGAAACTGAAATATTTATAATATAGAAAGGGGAAATTAATACATGCTGCTCCATTTTAATAAGAACCTGGTCTTTCTAAAAGGCTTCATTTTGAACAGGATGAATCTTTCGGTTTAAGAAACTGAAATATTTATAATATAGTTAGATAAAATATTTTATTTCAAACAGTAATTATTATTAAAAAAAGAAAATAAAATAATTATTTAAATAATAACATTTTCACTTTAAATTTATGTTTGTTTATTCATTTATAATTAACTCCTTCATAATTAAAAAAATTAATTTTTTTTGTTTATAAAGCAAATTTGATTAATCTAGTCTTTTAAATCTTCAAATAATTTAAAATAAATAAAATTGTAAATTACTCATAATTAAATATTTGTTTTATGATAAAAAAATTGTAAATAAAATTACAAATTATTACCATTTATGAAATTGTAGAAAGAATTTTTTACAGTTAAAGGTTTGATTAAAAATTTTATTTATTTTGTTTTTTAAGGCTCGAAGTCTATTTTGATAACTTTTTTTTTTTAATTTTATTTAAATTTATAAAATATTATTTATTATTCTACTAAATATTTATTTCCTACTAGAGAAATAATTATTCGAGGAAAACAATAAGTTTAGAATAATATTTTACATATTAGTTATATAATAAAATATTGAATTTTAAGAATGAGACATATTTTTTTAATTTTATTCTAAACTGAGTTTTAAATTTCAATTTATTAACAAATAACTGACTAATAGATAAATACTAATTATCATAATTTCAGTAAACTTTTTATTTAAATTAAACTAATCTTTTTATCTTCTTTGCATCTCTTGTTCTCTTATTTACAACTAAATAGTTTTATTCATTTTCAGGATCACTTTTTTAACAAAATAAATTATATTAATTTAAAATTAAACCAAAATATATGATTTCTATTGATTATTAATCAATAAGTATTTTTAATTACTTTACAGCAATGCATAAGAAAATAGAATTCAGTAATTTATTTTCCATAAAGCTACTTCCTAAAAATAAGATATCATTTTCGCTATTATATTAAAATGAGTATCAATAATAAAACAAACATAAAATTTGTAATTGCTTAACTAAATTGATTGAAGAATTAATTAATCTTAATTATAATTACCTAACATACAGTTTTAAATCTTTTAGACTTTTACACTTATTTAAGCATGTTCCTAAAAACTTAACACTATGAGAGTCAAAATAATTAGCCCTTTTATAAATCAATAAATAAAAATTATTTTAGAAAATTTAAAATTATTATTTGGTTATTGCTTTTTTTTAATAAGTTTATATAAAAGTAGAAATAAAAAAATTAATACCAATAAACTAACATTAATCTTTAGAGAAGCTCACATTTTTCTAAAGCAATAGATATTTATTGAAAGCCCTAATTATCAATTATATTACAGCTATAATTATAATTAAAAAGTTAGATATGTAAATGTAAATTTTATTTTTTTGGTATATAATTTTTTTAAATAATTAATTTAATTTTAAATCAATGTTTAAAACTAATCAATCAATAAATAAATAATATCTGTTATCTGAATATTTTTTTTATAAAATTGCAATAAATAATTTTTAACAATTTTATACCTAATCATTAGATCTAAACTTAAAAGTTTTTAACTGCAAGCAATTAAAGAGTTTGCTATACTTTCTGCACCTATATCCGAGATTGAATTGTTCCTAAAATTTAATTATTTTAAAAATTAAATAATATTTAAAGATAAATTATTTACGTAATATCCAAATATAAATGTTTAAGATCTTATGCTTGCGTAATTAAATTTCCGATATTGATTGCTCCTTAGTCTGATAAATCATTTTCTCTTATTTATTTATAAAATTTATTAATAAATATATTTTTCTATATTAACGCACAACCAATTTTAACTTTTTCTGAGGGAAATAAAAATTATTAAAATTTTGTTATTTCAAAAATATTTAATTTTTAATAAAAAATATTTTTATTTTATATTCCCCAAACAAACAAACAACCCTACCCTTTAGAGTATTTTAAATCTTATTTGTTTTAAAGAAATATAAATTTTATAATTTTAAAAACTCAGTTAATTAATTAAAAGCAAACATAATATTTAAATTAGGTTTAATATTTAAATACTTTAAGCCAATTTTCAGAGTAATGAGGTTTTTGATAGCATTAGATATCTTTGTTTATAAGAAAAAAGTACCTCTATCATTAACTTTATTTTCCCTTAATTAATTTTAAATAATTTATTAAATATA